AAATATAAATAAATATAAATACGCAACGCCCCTCCTCTCTATCAGTACTACCTATGCAGCAAACGGATAGAAAGCCAGTTGCTGCTGCTGCTCTCCTTGATGCAGTTGCTGCTGCAGTTGCTGCTGCCGCTGCTGCAGCTCCTGCTGCGGTTGCTGCTGCAGCTGCTGCTGCTGCAGCGCCAGAGATGCGCACTGTGCAGCGGAGTCGAGCAAATGTACTAAAAGCAGCAGCAGCAGCAGCAGCAGCAGCGTAGGAGCAGCAACAACAACAATGTAGAAGCAGCAGCAGCAGCAGAAACATTGTAAGAGCAGCAGCAGCAGCGGCAGTGGAGAAGTAGCAGCAGTGTAGGAGCAACAGCAGCACTGCAACAGCAGCAGCAGCAGCAGCAGCAGCAGCATTAGCTGCGTTGCAGCAGAGGCAGCAAAGCAACTGCAGCGTCAGCCGTACATACACCCGGATGCAGCTAGAGTGCTGCGGCTCCCTTTGAATCACCTTCTGAAATCACATCTTTCAGCAGCAGCAGCATCAGCGACAACAACAACAACAGCAGCAGCAGCAGCAGCAGCAACAGCAGCAGCAGCAGTTTGCCTCGAGTTGTTCCTGCTACACATACCCCGCGGTATTTTCATCATGGGTTGGGGTTTATGTTTTTTTGTATTGTTATTAAAATTATTTATAAAATTAATTTATTAAATTATTTATAAAATTAATTTATTAAATTAATTTATTAAATGTTTCTTCTTTCTTTTCTTTTTGCTGCTGCAGGCGCCGCCGACTGCAGCGCCAGCGCGCGCTGCTGCTGCTGCTGCTGCACAGCATCTGCCTGTCTATGGCAATTTGTTTATCTTATAGAAGTAAATTTAAATTATTAATTAATTAATTTACTAAAATTAATTAAATTATTTAATATTTCTTCTTTTGTATGAATTTCGGGGGCCCCCAGTGCATGCAGTGGCAGGGGGGCCGAGGCGCCCTTATAAGGCTGTGCACAGCAGCAGCAGCAGCAGCAGCAGCAGCAGCAGCAGATCTTGCTGCTGCTGTTGAGATGCTTAGTGTCATTTTTTGCTGCTGATAATGCAGCAGCAACAGCAGAAACAGCAGCAGCAGCACTAGCGTGCACGCCTGTATGCTGCTGCCGTTGTCTTTGAGCTGCAACACTCGCCGCTGCAGCAGCAGCAGCAGCAGCAGCAGCAGCAGTAACAGCCGCAGCAGCAGCAACTAAGCTGCGGAGATGCTGCTGCTGCTGCTGCTGCTGTCTGCATCACCCATTGAAATCTGCTCGTCATTCAGCAGCAGCGCAGCAGATGGGGCCCCCCTGGGCCCCTGGTGGGCCCCCATCTGGGGCTGCAGCAGCAGCAGCATCAGCAGCAGCAGCAGCAGCAGCAGCAGCAGGTGTTGCTGCTCGTTCCTACCTCGAAACTGGTGATGAAGAAGAGCAGCAGCTTGCTGCTGCAGTGCAGCAGGTCGAGAGGCCCCCCCCTGTAGACTGCGGCATCTCTA